CATGAGTAAAAATGTTTTACATTGCTTGACATACATACATTGGACGGAAATTTACGCGCACCCCAGGCAACAAAACAGCGAGTAATAATAAGACTACGTGTTGTCGCCCTAAAAACAGCACACACATTTTCTACGCCACTGATACAGCAAACTCATCCCCACCGTTGTGTTTACGGAGTATTTTTACGCATCCCATTGAAGCGGTTTGCTTTTAGCGTCAATCCACACAACTATTCGTCAATGTGTGAATTGTTCATTTTGAGTTGTTAAGCACACTGAGCATTGTTGAGTATTGTTGATTATGATTATGTAGTTGATGACAATTGTTGATGTCATGACATAGTTGAATGAAAATGTGATACGACGCCAAATACAGGCGGCGATTTTCGCGTACCGCTCACGATTCACGCAAAAATCGTAACTTAAATAGAACATCTTTCTGTGTGAAAAGCGCATCGACCTAAATGCCGGGGCAAAAAACAAATGGCGTAGACTGTCTAATTTGCCAAATGGCTTGCCCCCTTAACTCCGCAAATGATCCGTTAACGTAACCAAATGATTGCCGTCCATAGAAAGGAAACAAATATGTTTGCCGCATAGAGCAATGCACATACTAACGCTACAATACCCCTACCCTCTATGTAATGTAATAATGTGCCTACTAATGTAAAGTCGTGTTTGCTCTCCCAAGCAGCCCTCACATGTGCAGCTCTGTGATGCGGTCACGTACAAGGCCATAACCTCTCTTCACCGAAGGAGCACATGTTCGTGGTGTTCAGTCCGCCCGATGAATGAAAGCCGACATTCAGGGGGCGAAAAGCTTCTGATTTACCGGAGGTGATCGGTGACAAAACGGGCACTTTTGCAGCCCAGCTGGTGGCAAAATTGCACAAATAAAATAAAATTACAACAGACCAGACCACATTAAAACAGACCGTCTCATCCCATCCCTAGACCAAAACTCAAAGATTAGTATTGGTCTGTGCTCGCTACGTTTGCATCGTGAGCATGTGTAGAGCACATGCCGAAGCGTTGATGTTTCGCTGTATGAGCAAGTGAGCCGCAATATGTGGCCCAAAAATAGTAGCTTTGATCAGGGTATTCTTTAATAGGGGACAGAAATATACTACAAATTCTGGTATATCAGTGCTGACCGTCACAGAACCGTAGTGTCGATGCTTTTCCAACGTTCCCTCAGATCAGTGCTTTTCACATATTTTCCAGCCAAGATTCACTTCACATTACGCACAGCATAAAAACACAAATAGCTAGGCTTATACTGGTCGTAAGAATCGAAGGTGGCACGCAATCTTGCGACGCACGTGGTCAGTTTGCTACGCGGCAATTTTAAAAGCGTCGTGTCATTTGAGACAGATGGGTTCGAGCGCTCGCGCGCAGAATTGGGTTCAGTGCAAGGCTTTTGGCTTCTGGTGGTTGTGTTCATGCCGGTGAGAAGCTGACTGGCAAGAAAAACGCAGCTAATCGTCAGTTCTTAAGAGCTGTGCCGCTTTTGTAAGGATCTAGCATGGGAGTGTCCCCAGCAATAGCGTCAAAAAAGCCCATACCGATCTATGAGGATTATTTGCGGATACTGAACTCCAGTTTCAGAGGAAAGCTGAGAACACTGGAGCGACAAATTTCAGTGACTCATCCTGAATTTACCGCTGATGAGAGGAACAGCGGCTTTGAGGTAGGAACCGAGCATCGCTGGGTGTAGACCTCTCACACTGCCCGCGGCCTCGCAGATTGAGTGAACTGCTCGATTGACAGGCGTGAGATAAAACGCCTTTTTGTTGTCATTACATTGTATGCAGTGCAAAAGGAAGGTAATAAGGCTGTTCACAACTGTCCTGTCCATTTGCTGATGCCAATGTTGCTTGGGTTCGTATCACATTTCATTGATGAGACCGTGTTAGGAAGTGTGAGTCTGCACTGGTAATGATGAAGCGAAAACAGTGAAGGTCGCCAAAGCTTCCAGCTGATCCCTTGGCGACGTCACCGTACCAAAAGTTGACATTCCTTTCAGGTGCTTGTAGAACCATGATAATTGGTAGCCGTCGGGCTACAGGGGTACCGTTTTTTGCAAAATACTTACAGGAGAAGGAGGGGGGGAGGGGGGGGGGGGCAGGAAGAAAAACAGGCTGAGCCTACATCCGATATGCAAATAAAATAGTTCTTACCCAGATGCCACCCACGTTTATTTCAGACTTTGGAGTAGGGAGAAGTTTTTAAGATGAGCTTTGATAGGCTGAGCCCTGAATAATGATGATAAGTGAAAAAATAATGGATAAAAAATGGCAAATAAGACAGTAGGTCATCGTCCTAGCTAAGGAGTATAATCCTGCCCCACTGAAAAGCAAACGATACACATTTAGGCTGCTCATTTTAATTGTGTCTTTATCTCATAATTTTATTTGTTTAGTCTTAACCATCATTCAGTGTTTGATAGCAAGTATGTGATATTTGGTGCAGATGAATTCCCGAGACAAAAATGTTTCACGGTTATGTCGCATTACATTTCAGTTGTCGTTTTGTGCGCTGTATCGTATTTGGAGTTATATTGCAACAGTTTCCGAAAATTTGGTTACAGGTGGCAGTTAAGACGTTCCACATTTCGTCCGTAACAGAAAAGACACTTTTCACCTCTGCCAACATTGCCAAAGCATCGATCAAAGGGACACTGCGGTAAGGTTATGCGTTCCCGGGAATGCCATCATATTGTGCTCTGCTTGCAAATGATTTATTTAAATTTGAAGGCGATGTTTCCCGTACTGCTAGATTACTCAGGTTATGCTGTGTTTAGGACAATTAAATAAAAACCGTGGATAATGTAGAAGACCAGGGCTGCTGTGATAATGCATCAGGCTGAATCCGCCGCCGTGCCAAAGCGTGATTAACGGCTGTGACACCAAAATGTAGTGTTTTTACATGTGCATGTGAGTTTGCATGCCAAATCAATGCCCGCTTTTTCTTTTCGTTTTTTTTTGATCAAGCAATGCTACGCTGTTTTTCCAGGAGTGCACGGAAGCTTGCCATGGCGGCGTTAAAGCGCGACGTTGTGGGGCGTCATTCAGCAGTATTAGCGACCTGAGGGGTCATCTAGCTAGGCGACATCGAGTCGACGCTGCTCGAGGCTTTGGCGCTCAAGCTGTACGCCCAGGTTGGTCGTGTGGTATTGATCGGGCGTTTGAGTTGTACGCCCAGCGTGGTCATGTACTGTTTGTCGGGTGTTCGAGTCGTACATTCAGCGTAGTCATGTGGTGTTGGTCAGGGCGCTTGAACGTGGTCATATTCTATTGGTTGGGTGCTCGAATTCCTCATGCAACGTCTTGTTGCACGCCCATTGTGGCTGCAGCTGCTGCGCCACTGTGCTGTTGTACCTCCCTCCCGTGCGAGGCTGTGCTGCTGTGCCTCCCTCCTGTGTGAGGCCGCGCTGTTGTACCTCGCTCCTGCGTGAGGTCATGCTGTTGTACCTCGCTCCTGCGTGAGGCTGCTTTCCGATCCGATCCGATCACGCCCTTGGTGCACACTAGCGCTAGAGTCCTCGCAGATGTTTCTCGTTCAGGCCCCATCTGTTTGGCGGCACGCCTGAGCTGGCTGGTGCAGTGAGCCTCGCACGCGAGTCGCGGCTCCTGCACCCCGGCGGCTGTACGGCTGCGTCACACTCGAAGATGGCCTGCGATGCTTACGCCGCCTGCCTGTGTCGTCGGCGCCGCTCTTTGGTGATGGCGATTGCTTTGCAGTGCTGTTCGGTCACCTTGAATGTCACAGCATGAGTCTTGTAAAACGGCGAAGGTCGGGCCGGCGTGGAGAGTTCTTTCATTCAAACAGATGATAGATGAGATTTTTGTGCTGGTGTCCAAAAGGAGCGTCCGCCCGGACACACCTCGACCTGTTGCCGGTCATGCGGCGGCCCACAGGCGGTGGCCTCTTCATATGTCAAAGATTCCCCGGATGGATGAGTCACAGAGAGTGACGATGTATGAAGACCGTGTCGCGATCGCATCTCCGCTCACGTAGCGCGCCGTCCAGGCTGGCTGGCTACACGCGCGTGCTGGCGAACTCGCCGGCCGAGTATTCCGTGCTTGTGGCCAGGCTCGTGCTGCATGTTGGTGAGGCGCGAGCTGTGATGACTTGTACACCATCATCAAGCCTGATGTAGCTTTGATGTAACTTAAGTGGGTTTTTCAACGCTGGCACTGGCGGTTTAAATGTGTTTGTCGTCGCCTTCCCGTCAGTACGTATCTGGTGCGCCATGTCATCTGCCCGCATAAAACAGCATTTGTTCACAGTCTCTCTCTAACGTTGAACGCCGGTCCCCAAGTGTTTCATTCCGCTGTTCAGAACTCGTGGTGCCCGCTCTTCTCGAACAGTCCGTCATTTCGAGGTCGCGATCGATCTCAGCCTGTCTGATCACATAGTGAGACCAAACTTTGCAGAAGTTTGAAATGAGTCTCGTTACTCATGTAACGGAACTATTCCGCTCATGTACTCAAATCTCGGGAATGATGAAGCCGAACTCCTCAGTCGAAAGTCCGTTGGCAATAAATCAGTTTTGGCTCAATAGAAACTTTGCTCGGGTTCATTCAGCGCCAACATCAATATTTTAACTGATATGAGCCTTAGCCTGAACTTTTAACGGCACAGGTATTACTGATGTGAATCGGTATGTCCCTTCAGGCCTTCAGAGCAACCGGATAATAAGATCTGGAACGCTGGGTGGCAAGAGCCCATTGTACAGCATAGAACGCGCCAAACTTTCACATTTTCGCCGCTCAAATGACTCCAACAGTAAATTTAAACCTATCGCAAATGAACAAACGCTGTCTCCTTACGCACGGCGAGGAGGAACATGCGAGTGTCTTCCAACCTGAACTTTGACACTACTCAATGCCAAACAAAAACAAACAACAGCGATTGCAACTTGACTACAGTCATCAAAATCAACCTTAGCCTGCACATTCCATGTTTGCTGCAACAAGAAGCCTGGTGAGACGGACTTACTTGATATGGTTCCGGGGAATGTTGTGGATGTCCTTGTAGACGACCTTGAGGCGCAGGAAGTCGCCGTTGGTGTCGGCCTCGACGGTCCAGGCCTGGCGGTCGCGGTCGTGGCAGGGGCCTGACGCGGGCGCGGCCAGCGTACCCACCACCAGCTCGCCGACCGTGTTGGCCATCAGCAATCTCGCAGACGACCTTGAGCCTGCCGGCCGCGCACAGGTCGTGGAGCGCGGCGCGCGGCGTCCAGCCTGGGCCGCGGCCGTCTCGGTCGCTCACCTCCTCCAGGATGCCCGAGATGGCCGCCGCCTCGCCGTCGCCCAGCGTGAGGTTGTACCGCACGCGACACTTGTGCTCGAACCCGGTGAGCCGGCGGAGCGCGGCGCTCACGCGCTGCGGGTCCTCCGCCGCCCGCTGCACCGTCACACTCCACTCAAAATTGCCGAACGTGAAGAAGCTCGTCTCGAGACGCGCCTCCTCCTTGAGCGACCGCGGCACCCCCAGGTCGGCCTCGAAAACGGTCCGCACATTTGTCATGGTCAGCTCCAGCTGAAACTCGCCGTTGGCGTCTGTGAACTTGCGCTCGTATAGGCTTCCGACGTTGATAAACTTGCGGTTACCCTGCGCTGGGGACTCCTTGGAAAACTTGATCTGCTTTCCGCTGAAGCTCTCGTTACCGCTAAAGTGGTCGCGGTTAAGCAGGGAGAAGGCGAAATCGATGTACAGGCGCACGTGCTCAGATGGGTTCTTCCACACCAAATACACGCCGAGAAGCTTCTCGTTGCGGCTGAAGGTGACGGCCCATCGGTGGAATCCGTAGGGAAACTCCTTGGTGGTGACATCACGATGCAGGTCTCGCGTCACCGTCTTGGTCACGACGAAGGAGAAGACGCGTGTGTTGCCCCGGTCGTGTACCTTTACGAACCGGTACAGCAGCGCCATTCTGCAAACGAGACAGCCGTCATCGTGGCTTACGCAGCACTACGGCATCGGTCGAAATGCGTCGTCACGTGACATGGATGCACCACTCGCAAAGGAGCTGATACTTTACGAAGCGTCAAGTCTCTGTTACATTTCTGAGCGTGGCTTTTCTGTGGTGAAGGTCAGAACAGTTCAGAAAGGATGTGCAGATGTCGGGCATAGATAGCAATGCAGACATCAATGTAGCAGCTGTCGCGGCCGCTCGTACTGCCGTATTGCACTGACAAACGTCGTGATTCACAATTGCATCACTTTTAAAGACACGCGTGGCTGCTGCGCTAGATTGAATGGTCAGATGTTCTCACATCTACAACCTCTTTACAGAAGCATCGAGCTGAGCATCTCAACCGAGAGAAACTTCCCCAAGGGGATGCCAGAGTTTTAGGGAATTGTGATATGGACAGATCATGTCTGAGCCAAGAAGAAAGCCATCCAGGTAGTGTCAACAGGCAGGCGCCAACTGGATGACGATGTTTCCACATGCACCGCAATGCATCTTACGAACCGAACCGAAAACGTTTGCTACAGTAGTCAAAAGTCGGGGACACTTAGCTCACATGGAGTGTTCAGCCACGAGCGAGGTGCTGAGAGCTCACCATCAAAGTTCTAAACACTTCCCTGGACTTATAAGCCGGTCAAATGATCCCCCTTACGTTAAAAGGCGTGCGATACAACAGATGTACGCATTCGGAAGTGTGGAGCTTTTGTACGATGGCTCACGAGAGGCACATCAAAACTCGTAGACTACAGTCGATCAGCGGGACATTTGAAAGAAGCTCGGCGATGACTATAAATACGAGTTTTGCCAATAGATAAGTTATTCCATTAATTTTCTTAACGTATCACGACATCATGAGTAAGAAAGAAAGAGAGAGAAAGGGAGAGAGAGAAAAAGAGAGAGAAAGAGACAGAGAGAAAGAGAGAAAGAGAGAGAGAGAGCGAGAGAGAGAGGGAGAGAGAGAGAGAGAGAGAGAGAGGGAGAGAGAGAGAGAGAGAGAGAGAGAGAGAGAGGAGAGAGAGAGAGAGAGGGAGGGAGGAGAGCGAGGAGAGAAGAGAGGAGAGAGAGAGAGAGGAGAGAGAGGAGAGAGAGAGGAGGAGAGGAGAGGAGAAGAGAGGAGAGAGAGAGAGAGAGAGGAGAGGAGAGAGAGAGAGAGAGGAGAGAGAGAGAGGAGAGAAGAGGGAGAGAGAGAGAGAGAGAGAGAGAGAGAGAGAGGAGAGAGAGAGGAGAGAGAGGGAGAGGAGAGCGGAGAGAGAGAGAGAAGAGAGAGAGGGAGAGGAGAGAGAGAGAGGAGAGAGAGAGAGAGAGAAGAGAGAGGAGAGAGGAGAGAGAGAGAGGAGAGGGAGAGAAGAGAGAGAGAGAGAGAGAGAGGAGAGGGAGAGAGAGAGAGAGAGAGAGAGAGGAGAGGAGAGAAGAGAGAGAGAGGAGAGAGGAGAGAGAGAGAGAGGAGAGGAGAGAGGAGGAGAGAGAGAGAGAGAGGAGAGAGAGAGAGAGAGAGAGAGAGAGAGAGAGAGAGAGAGAGAGAGAGATGGCAAAAAATGACATAAAACTCGGACGGAAGTGCCACAATTCGTCAAGAATGTGTTGGGTCTAACCTCTGCATGGGCTCGCAAGCGCATATGGTTTCCCCAGAAAGAGAACGACGCAGCTTTCAGCGGCACCCCAACTTTAAAAGAATTCCAATCGGCAGCCAGGCTGTCCGTCGCCGCGGTCGACGGCGAACAAGTGACGTCAGCTCCGTGAAGGCTGTCCGTCGCCGCGGTAGACGGCGAGCAAGTGACGTCAGCTCTGTGAAGGCTGTCCGTCGCCGCGGTAGACGGCGAACAAGTGACGTCAGCTCCGTGAAGGCCGTCCGTCGCCGCGGTAGACGGCGAACAAGTGGCGTCAGCTCCGTGAAGGCTGTCCGTCGCCGCGGTAGACGGCGAACAAGTGGCGTCAGCTCTGTGAAGGCTGTCCGTCGCCGTGGTAGACGGCCACCAAGTGGCGTCAGCTCTCTAGAAGCGGTCGGTCAAGTGCGCGACACGTCACAGTTATGCCGCCGCGTCCGACATCGTGTCGGTGCTGGCGGCAGCCCGTCCGCGCGCTGCGCGAAGCGTGAGAGGTCGTCGGCAGCGCCCGACTTCCTGGCATTTGCTCAGACCCGCCACTTCCCAGGATGAGCGCTGCAACTATTCTCGGAACTGCCTTAGCTAAGACACCAGCCTCATCTCCAGCGTCTGATGATAGTCGACCGTGGGCATTTAACCTTTCGAAGGGAAGATACAGCTCCATCCACAAGCGGGCGCCGTGCCGTTGGGTTCTCTTGTGCGGTATGTCTGCATTATAATGGAAAGTCAGCATACGCACCAGCGGGAAACCCAGTTTGCAGCCAGCCGGCCGTTACCTCTAGTCGATCTATGTTACATTTCCTCACAACAGTTCTGGTACACTTGCCAGTTGTAGTTGCTCTTTTATCGTACAGCCTTCGTGGCACTCTGCTGGCTGGGCCGAGAAAGCTTTTGATTTTTTTTCTGCAGCGGAGAGAAAATTGGCATTTCAAGAAACACCTCTTGAACCCCAGCGCTCTCGCTAAAGAATGGATATATATATATATATATATATATATATATATATATATATATTGTAACTTTTGCTTTTTGTTCGGCTCTCCATACTGAAGCGTAATAATCGAACAAGGTAGTTGGCTGAAAATATAACTTGCCATGTTGAAAGTTCACGAAACGTTTGCGGGGTTTGTGGGTCACATTTCCATTCAATTTAGTGTGTGCCAGTCCATCAATCCGACGATTCCACCAGAGTAGTTTCTGGTGGCTTCAATTTGCTTGGATTTCTGTGCTGGCCATGCTCTAATCCAAAAGTTTTCAGCTCACTGGCCCAATCTGCGGTGATGCATGTCCCTCCTTCCCCTTCGCGTTTCGTTCTATAGCTTGAGCAGACGCCGCTGTCGGTGAATTCTTATCTGAGCACCAATAACCGGCGGATAGTCGAACCGTAGTCTAACGTCAGCGCTCTGAGAGCCCACGGAGCCTGCACCTCCTGGCTTGCGACGCCAGCCAGATCCGGCGTCCGTCGACCCTGGCAGGCTGGCTGGCTCTAGGGCCGCCAGGAGAAGGGCCGGAGTGTGTGGCGCGGCCCTGGCAAACCGGCAGGCAATGCCCTGTCACCGCTCGGTCCTCCCAGCCACGTGCCGGGTGGGCAGTGGGCAGTGAGCAGTAGGCAGTGGGTTGCTGCCGGCGCGCAGGCCTCGGAAAGTGGACAGGGTGGTTCGCTGGCATGGACCTTCCATTAATATAAATTCTTTGTTTTGCCGTGACCGGTTTGAAGCCATTGAGGTCAAGGTGGTAGCCACGAGCGGCAAGTCCTACCCGTGGTAGGACTTGGTAGATAGTTTAAAATCGATGGAGATCCATTAGTTGGTGTTAAGTTCATCAGCCTAAAACCGGCCATCTGTTGAACGAACATGACGTTGCACGACACACAGCCCAGTTAAAGTGGGTGTCTCCCGTTCCAGACATCGATTACCCTCAGACTCCCAGTGACAGTTCGTCGAGAACGATTGTACACGAGCGCTGTGTGCGCGGGCAAGAGGCTTTCATAAATCATACCTTGAGGCACTTCTTACGCGTAATGGACTCACCGGAGTGGCCATATAAGCCACATTTACAGCCCATTAGTGCGCTTCGAGTAACCCATTGCCGGCGCGCCCGGTCTGGCAGTGACAGAGCGACCAACCGAGATCCTTGCGTCGAAAAGCCCGCCGTGGTGACGGCGGCAGTAGCGCTGCTTCATCATGACCGGCGGCGACCGGCCCCGCCTCGAAAAATGGCCCCCGGTGCTTGTCAGACGGAGACGTAATTGAGGATCGCCGGGGATTCGACCGGAGGCCATTCTGAACCGGCCAGGCGCTCTCAAGCCGGAGACGATTACGTGTAATCCTTCGTGGCGAATTGTGTTGATCGAAATTTCCTACCGCTTAGAGTCGCAAGTGCTATATGTCCTGTGTATTGTCGCCAAGAGAAGCATCCCGCACGTTTAAGCAAATGTGGCTTCGCTCTTAGAAGCGCCGAAGTAAAGCCGTAAAACTGTTTATTTACAGCGGCGAAAAGAACACCCAGCAGGCTCTTCCGGAACTTTAATTAATTTCACTTGGCAGAGTTCCTTTACGTTTGGTTTGGGTGGAATGGGCTTTATCTCTCCCGGCCCGTGCAAACCAGTTCAGGGTTGTGGATGAGCTAGAGGTGACAATGAGTGATGTGTGACAATGTGATAATTTTACCCAGACAAGCACGAATATACTGTAGCCAGCGTGTCGGAACCTTCGGAAATTTGCGGAGAACCACCACCGTGAATGGTCCAGGTCGAACGATTTCGGCCCTAAAAGTAGCCTGCTGAGTCCAAACAACATGCTATCCTTGGCCTACAATGCGTCTTTGAGTTTCGCGGGACCTTGGATGTGCCCCGGAAACTTTACAAGCTCGCAGCTCAACAGTGTGTATCGCCATACATCTGTGACGTGGCGGGACAATAACGTTCTTCTCAGCTACAATACTCCGAAAAAGTGAACAAGAATCCACAAACGTAGACAGTTTCAAAATTCCGGGTTTGTCACAAAACTCCTCACATATTTGTGAACCAAAGCAGATTTACCCATACCCATACTATCCATAATCTAACACTCGTTACAAGTCATCGTAACCGGCCGGCTCAGCCTCCCCCCCCCCCCCCCGGCGTGAGACTGTGAATAAGTGCCTGGGTGCGGCTACTTGAATGACTAGCTATTTTGACATCTTTTTAGTGACAAAGTTTGCACAGACTCGGAGTATTATCTGCACTCACGTGTCTTGATGTTTAAATGCTTTGTTTTTGCATGACCTTGCTCACTCGTGGCCATGAACATAGCTGGGAAATATGGCGTAGTATCAGTGGAAATTTTTTTCCTTGAAAGCGTTGTGCGACCATTACTT